GGTTTGGGGGGTTCGGGCGCAGGGGTGGGGGCGGGGTGCTAGGGGGGGCTACGGGAGGGTTTGGGTTATGAGGGGCCTGGAAGTACACAAAACACTCGTCGTCTGAAAACAGAAACATCGCAAATGCCAAGATGTAATGATCGAAGCAAAACGCAAACCAATATAGCATGGATAATAGCAAAAATCTGACACATCGTGTCGAAGCCCCGCCAGTCTGTGGAAAGAATTACCAATCCGAAAATGCCGACGAACAAGCACACTAAAATACACTGGAAAGCTACAATCTCCGAAGTAGCAAACTAAAGAAAAGTGCCTACTAGAAAGTACACTATAATACAACATCACGAAACACGACGTCTGCGCAGAAAAGTACCCACTGGAAAGTAGACTATAATACAACCTCACGAGACACTACGTCTGTCATGGATAACAAAAAACTAAAGTACACTGAGAAAGTCACGAAAATGCAAGTCCGTAATCCGTCAACGATCGTCGTGCGCACGCGGATCTCGCTCGGACCGATGAGAAACTCCTCCGTGGGACCGACCCCTGCCACCTCCTCGATCTCTCTGACGCTGGCTGCCACGTCCGCTAGCGGAAGGCTCAGGAGCGACGGGAAGCTCGTCGGGATCGTCGTCCATAATGACTTTCCTGCCTCTCACCGTCCTGATGGTTGCTGCTGCTAGGTCATCACGTCGACGTGACTCGCGTGCCATAGGTAGACCGTCAGTCCCTGAAGTCTCCCCCTCCTGGCGTTGATCTAAGGGCACGTGTCGGGCCTGCCTCAATCGTGTAACAACATCAGGCTCCTCCAAAATAATCGACACCTCTCTCGAACCGTACGTCCACGGCGGATCCGCTGCGCTCGTCGTCGCCACCACTGCCACCGTCGCCGCCACTGCCACCGTCGCCACCACTGCCACCGTCGCCACCCCCTCTACCGCCAAACCCTGCAGCTACAACATCTCGACGTCTCGCGCTCGTGGAAACCCCTCTCAAACCTGGCTGACGACCGACACTCGCCGTCGTCACCCGTCTCGTCTCACTCCATGGTCGATCTGTGCGACCGAACAACATGGTGTCCAACAACTTCCGCGCACGCTGGGTAGTGTCTCTCCATCTACGGGCAACCGACCTCGGGGTGAGGCTGCCGCCCTCCCTCGGAGCTGCGCTCAAGGGTGACGAAGGGCCTGCGGCACCTCTTGATGGCGCTGCGATCGAACCTCCAGAAGGTAAGTCCCCTGCGGCCCCGGCCGATGCCGCTGCGACGGAACCTCCAGAAGGTAAGCCCCCTGCAGCCCCGCCAGATGGCGCTGCGATGGAACACCCAGAAGGTAAGCTGGGGCTGGCGGGCCCCCAAGATAAGTCCTGCAGGTGAGGAAGCTTCCCCTCCTCGGGGACTGACCTCAAAACACGCTGGTCGATCTCCGTCAAATCCCTCCTGCCGTGGTCCTCCAACTCCTCAGCGGTCATAAAACCAAAAGGGAGGCTGCCTCGAGGCGTAGCCACATGCCTAATCTCCGGCCTCGTCCCTGACGGCGCAAAAGTAGGGACCGGGGGTATGCACGCGCCCCTGCCTACACGTCGCTCCTCGACCGGGCCACCGCCATGTGCAGGAAGCCCATAACCCTCCAAAAACAGTGCCTGATGTGACACCACTGGCCCCACAGCAGTGCGAACCACCAAAGTCTGTGCCATCTCCTATCCATCCGCGTCACGCCTGTCCACCTGTGTGGGGTCTCCCCCGCCAGACGTGGACATCGGATCGGCCGCGGGCGGCACCTCCGACTCGCCAACACCAACGGCCCCCGCTACGGCCCCGTCCCCCCCGGTGGTCGGCGCTATCCCCTCCGCCTGCGCCGATGGGCGAATATCATCAACGCCCACTGACTGCCCCGTCTGTATGTGCTCCAGACCCGGGGACATATGCACGGCACCCTCAACTGAACCCGTGGGCAGAGGCACGCCCGCGACCTGCTGCAATGTCTCCTCTAGCCTCAGCTGCACGGCAGAAGGCTGCGCCGGCTCCGAACGTGGCTCCTCTGTCGGTGCCAACCCGCTCTCGTGCGTCCCCTGCTGAACATCTACTCCCGTACTTGAAACCTCTGCCGAAGCCGCCTCCCGCTGCGTCGTGTCGTGAACCTCTGGAGGAGTATCCGTGTGGGCAGCTGGCCCCACATCAACAGACGTCGTCGTATATGTCCCCAGCTGCCTCTGTCGGTCCTCGGCCGCAAGACGGGCGAGCTCCTGCGTCCTGGGGTCCCTCTGCGCCATGAGGCATGCTCGACGACTCTCAAGCCTATCCAACCTCTCCTCAGATGTCTCTCCAAAAGGTGTGCGATCCTCGTCTCCCTCTTCCCCCGACATCACCTCTTTGCGCATGGCAGGGGAGAAACTGTTCGGGTCCAGGAAGTTGATCTGTCCCAATAAGGCCTGCATACCCACACTGATGTCCCCACGGGACTCGCTCTCTCCACGGGGAAGACCCACGCTCTCTCCTGGGGGCATACCCATATCACCAAACTCACTGAAACCGCCTCACCGCTCATCGGTATCCCCTCAACCGCCGCATTAACCTCGGCACCGCCTCCACCTCCGGCCAGCGCACCACCATCTCCACCAACCAACCCCTGTCTGTCTCCGTCGTCACCCTGCACCGGCATAGGACCGCCCTCCGATCTGTTCTCCAATCGTTGTCTCGGGCCCCTCACCAATCTCTGCAATCGATCTGCACCAGTTGGTTGTCGATGAAGCTGCTCCGTCGAAGTGGGAAGAGCGGTGGATGATGCCGTTCCAGAGCGACCCAGAGGACGATGGCCAATCCCCGACTCAGCCCCCCTCGAAGGTGCAGACCCAGGGAAGCGGGGCAGTGGACGTAGGCCTCGGACGCTCTAAAGGGCTTCCATGACGACCCCCAGACTCCTCCTCCAAATCAACTCGAACGAAAAGGTCATCTCCGCCACTCCGTCTGCGGACGTCCTCTGGGTCGCTCCACTCATCACGCTCATCCGCCGCATGAGTGGCGCTAGCGGGGCCCGCCGGCTCGTCCTCGTTCTCGTGACCCTCGGAATCACTGTCGTCTCGAGGGTACGGGTGCAATGTGGCTGCTCGAGTCCCAAAAACATCGCCCACATCACCCGGAGGAGCTCTGGACCCACATGGGTCTCGCTGCCATGAACGTCTCTAATCCTCAACCTCCTCCCGCGTCCTGCTCTCGTCCGTCCCCTTCCACGAGGGACGAATCCCGATACCTCCCTCCACATCCAACAACGACTCATCTAGAGTCCACGGCAGCGCGAACCCGCGGCCTGCCCGCTGATGAGAGAGAAGGCGGACGTTGGCTGAGATCTCAACCAACTTCGCGACCTTCTCGAACTCAAGCCGGTTATGCTTCTTCGTCTGTACACCCTCATGGACGGCCCAATTCCTCTCCGCAGGAGAGGAGCACGCCCACATGTACATCACACGAAGAGCGATAACCTGCAACTGCGGGGCGCACTGCCCGTACCGCGACCACCAACACCCGGACTCGTACGTCTTCGCATCGCCCCTGCACCTTTGTGCATCTCTATCTCCATCTCTCCCCCCCCAAGCAATCGTCCCCTCCGTGTGTGGAAGTCGCGCAAGTGTGCACATGCGGTCTCGTAGTCGCGGCTTCGCCACACTGAACCCTGTCTGCGACAAGATGTAAGTCGCCGCCTCCCTCACCAAGCTCGCGTTGTAGTCGCTGACCACACCCTCGAAGTACGCAAGTCCCGCCGGCTGGGACAGAGAAGGTGAGCAGCGGCGTGCGCCGGCTCCAGCATGTGAGCGCATCGAGCCTGCACCCTCTGCACAATAGTGTGCAAGATCTGTCGGAAGTGCACAAACCTCCTTTGCTACCTGGCGTGCCAGATCCTGTGTCCACTCAACCACTCGCGACATGTGCAGCCCTCCGCGGTCCAACCTGCGCAGCAGGTCATACACAGGCTCCATGATACGGAACAAGATGCCCATGGAATCCCACCAACTGCCATGTCGCACCTGCCACCTGACCCACCTAGCCAACTGACAAACGGAATGGTCCCAAGGGACCATACGCCAAGTATCGCCATCCACCGTCCTCTCCAAAGCTGACCTCACTGCCAGCAAACGCTCCACCATCGCGAACACGGATGCGAAACGTGTCTCGCAAGGATAGATGAGGCCCATCTGAGTGCTCTCCCCCTGGAAGATATGGAGAGCGGCGCCGTGCTCCTCAATGAAGCGCACCATCGCTCTCCCCCTCACGATGATGTCCTTGGACCACGGGCCCGAACAGCCAATGTCTGACAACATCTTGTTGCAGACATGCACTGCGCATGGGAGCCACGTGATCTGTCGATGTTCCGGCCTCTGCTGGGGCCCCTGGAGCATGTTCGTCGCGACAACGTACGCCGAGGCGGAGTCGGTGCAGATGGCGTTCACCCACTTAGGGGAGAAATCATCGAACACCTTGATCCAGCGTGCCAATACATCAGGCGCCCGATCCCGCTCACCCTCCCTGTTCATCGTCCGGACGAGCATCACCCCACGCGACCCGCCGGCAAGGAAGTTCACGATGGGTCTAGCATCGCGTGACTTCCTTCTGTCTGACATGATGGTGGCCCCCGTGACATAGAAAGGAGCCCTGACCTCCGCGAGATCAGCTCCCACATCGTCCGCCGTGTGGACAATGGTCTCTATGTCCGCGATCTCATTCTCTGAAGGCCACAACACCTTCACTGGCCCCGGCAAGTCCCTGAAGTGTCGGACGACGTCCAACCATGGCTCACTCCGGAAGACGTTGAATGCCAGGCGCTGACTGTACACAAACCGCAACCACTTCTTCTTGAACTCCATCTGGCACTTTGACGTGAATGACTCCGTGATCGTGTTTGGTCTCATCCTCTTCTGTGCTGCGGCTGCTGCCGTCGGTCTGTCCCCCTCCTCTCTCTCCTTCCTCTTCCCCGCAGACACACCCGCCTCAGCCGTATCCTCACCTGCCCGTGTACGAGCCGGCACGTGCGCCGACGCAAAGTACTGGCCCTGCTGCCCCCCCGGTTCACTGACAATGCCCTTCCCTCGCTCCCTCCCTGACGACCCCGCCCGTGCAACCTCCTCGACGTCGTTGTCCACGTCGATCTGCTCCCCCGCGTCCCTCATCTCTCCCTCCCCCCCCTCGTCCCGTCGCGGATCCATCCCAGGCGCCGCACCGTGAAGCTCCTCAAATCGCTGTATCCGCTCTAGGAACTTGTCGGACATCTTGTACTCACTGTTATAGTGGATGTCGAGAAGTGCCTCGTCTGTCACTTCCGGACATCCCTTGCCCTGGCGGAAATGGCGCGCCGCCACGAACTGGTTGCCCTGGAACTCGTGGCCGCAAAAAACGCACTTCAACATGCGATTGCCGCGGAATCTCTCGCCGAGAGTCTGTCCCACGCGGATGTACTTGTACACGCAGCACTTCTTCTGCACCTTCCGATTCTCGTCCTCCCCCCTATCCTCAAACACCCGAGATTGACTTCTCGGCATCGTGCCCGCTCGCCGACGGGTTCACCGGAGCGGTCCGCCCCTTTCCTGTCCCATGAATCTCCAACTCCCGCCGGTGTCCCTCCCCGCACCAGGCCTCGTCGGGCCCTCCCCCCAGCTACCTCTCTGGTATTCCCCCCCCCCCCCCCCAACGACCTCGAAACCCCGCACTCCGCCGCAAACGCCTCGCGGGCCG